GGGGCTGGAGAGATGGCTCAGAGGTTAAGAGCACTGGCTTGAGGTCCTGAGTTCAATTCCCAGCAACCACATGGTGGCTCACAGCCATCTATAATGAGATCTGGTGCCCTCTTCTGGTGTGCAGGCAGAACACGGTATACATAATAAATAAATCAAAATCTTACAAAAGGAAAAAAAAAAGATTCAGTGGTGGACTAAATGAGCATCCTCTTGGGGGCTTAATTATTAACCATTTTTGCCTGTTAAAACCCTAAAACCAAACTAGGGGTGTACCTCGCTCGGTGTTAGAGTGCCTGTTTGGCATGTGAAAGGCCCTGGGTTTGATCCCCATACAGAAGAACAAAAAAATTAAGCCCTAAAACAGACTCTCAAGTATATGCCATGTTTTGACAAGTAAGTGGGAGATGTTCTACAGGTGTTTTCTGTAAGATATGGGACATCTGTCAAAGCGACAGGCAGCATCGGCCCATCATGAAAACACAGCAGAAGAACTAACACCACAGAAGCCATGGTAGGAGCCTCACCCACGGGCAGGTGAGGAGTTACGAAGAGAAACCTGACCTTCAAGACTTGTGCTGTTTTTAAACTTGGTAAAGAGTCGCATATGTCAAAGGAGAGAGACGTGCCCCTCCAAAGTGACCAAATGCAAACAATAGAAACACCGCCGCTTTCTAAGAGAGTAGGACAAAGAGCGACAGCCTTTGCTTTGCCCCCCCCCCCCATCCTTAAAAGCACAACACTGATGTGAAGGTCTTCAGTCAATGACTTCAATAGACCTGGTGAGATCCAAAAGTAGTCATTTTAACCTTTATCTGATTTTTTTCTTTTTCTTTCTTTTTTTTTTGTTTTTTGTTTTTTTGTTTTTCAAAACAGGGTTTCTCTGTGTAGTTTTAGTGCCTGTCCTGGATCTCGCTCCTTTGACCAGGCTGACCTCAAACTCACAGAGATCTGCCTGGCTCTTATCTGATTTTTCTCAAAGGATTAAAAAAAAAAGTTGTTCTTTAAAAAAATAAGAAAATATATATATATATATATATATATATTGGTTTTTCAAGACAGGGTTTCTTTGTGTAGCCTCCATTGTCCCAGAACTAGCTCTATACACCAGGCTGCCTTGAACTCAGAGATCCACCGAACAGGAAGGCGGAGGGAGATACTGCCAGCCACCACCATGACAAGCAGCATGTGAAGATGCCACGTGGCAAGGTATAGATTTATAGAAATGGGTTAATTTAAGATGTAAGAACTAGGGCCGGGCGGTGGTGGCGCACGCCTTTAATCCCAGCACTCGGGAGGCAGAGCCAGGCGGATCTCTGTGAGTTCGAGGCCAGCCTG